ACGAAAGGATACTTAAACATTAAGCCAACACAAGTCAGTATTAAAAATAAGACTTGTGTCATTGCCCCCCTGTTGGCCTCCACTTGAACAAAGCCTAACACTACTAAAGCACAGGAATGCTGACGGATTACGCTCGATACCAGGGTAATATATCCAAACAAACCACTATCAGTCCCGGGCTGGGTTTCTTAAGGACATGTCCACTGTGTTATATCTAGCTTACTGTCTCTGCAGGGCAAGGTAAGAAAAAAAAAAAGAAGCCTTCCTTGACTTTGTCTCTCAGCAGCAGGTCATGTGTTTTGCAAAGGTTGACCAACATCGTAAGCATGTTGCCAAAATATACTGTAAGCTCCCTTTCAGAATCAACATCATCAAGATAAGGCTGTGTTCTGTACAAGCACAGGAAAGGCCTTTGACACCATATTGAAAATGAAAGCTGTGGTACTGTTGTGTAACCTGCATGTGTTCCAAAGCAATGAGATATATTTCCATTAAAGTACATCAAATTACAAACAGGTACATTGAATACATTTTCTGGGCTAATGATGGCCATGATAATTGCTTTAAGACTCTTTCCTTATGTGCAAAGAGCATTTAAAGATTTCCCAGATGCTTTCAATCAGCATGTCAAATCTCCATTTTCAAACTGAAAGGCCTATAGGAACTAATTAAAATGGTTTAAATCTACAGTTTAAAACAATGCACTGCTGTACCTCTGAGAAGTGGATGCATTACACATGGTCTAAATTTAATTAGGCCACCTTCTAAGTTTTATTGCAAAGCCAGAATACCGGAACATGTGGTTAGTTTGGAAGATTAAACAATTTGTCATATATATTTTTTTCTTATTAGACCTGGACCTATAGCTCCATTTTTGCCACCCATTTGAATATCTCTTCGTACATTTGAATGATATGACCGATCTTTTCAATGCTAAAGAATAAAATACTACTTAAGTAAAGCAGCTGAAAGTGTAGATCACACTGCAGTCACTTGGACTTAATGTCTGTGCTGACACTAAAATTAAAGTCTCTGTTAAAAGTCCAGTGTCTCGTCAGGTTGTAGAACTGAATACTTCTTCCATGTGCAAATCATGTACAAGAACTACGATGGCCAGCACATTCTCACTCCGACCTCGTCACATGTCGACATTTGATCATGGACTTTCCACATCAAGATATGACATACAGGGTACTCTGCGTCAACGGCGCCGGAAGTGGGGGGGCCAGGGGGCCATTGCCCCCCCACTTTTACCCTCCTGCCACATTATTTTTAAGCTGAATCAAAGGTCCCTATATTACATTACTTACGGTAAAAAAAGACTTTCACTCTTCACTTCCACTCATAGGGTAGGTAAAATACAGAGAGGGGCCATAGAGAGAAAGATACAGCCTCCAGCAGGCACTCAATTGTGCGCACCTGTTACTGCCTCTCCAGCCCGATAAAGCCTCGAGCTTTCTCGGCAGGCTCCGGGTAGACTCTCAGCCGTCTGGCTCTATCCAACAGCACCTAGCCGTAATCCCCACTAACCCTGGCACCGTATTGTAAGAATTCCCCAGTTATAAAAAATAGAAATAAATCAAAAAGCGAGCTAAATTGTAGGCCTATCTGGTTCGCAATCAAACATTTCTAGCGCTGGTGTGTTTTATTTTTTTGTCAGTGCCCCTCCGCGGCTCCGTAGTACACAAACATAAAACAAAAAATAAAGAATCTGAATTTAAACTTAATTTGTCTGACTTACATTTATCTCTTTCATATCATCAATGCATAGATCTATGCTTTTGATGTGATATGCAGCCTGCCTGACTACATAGGCTACAGAGGCCCTGGACCTGCTGTGCACAGAGGTGGAGCGGCGTTTTGATCAGGAGTGACTCCGAGTAGCTCTAGGGCGAGAGCAGGCACTTCCTGAGGCGGCTCAGGGGAAACGAGAGCGGCTAAGAGAGCTTAGATCGGGCCCAAAAAATCCAGCCCGACCTGGCCCGAGCCTGTGCACGTTATGTCCGGGACGGGATTTAAATTATGACGGGATTTTAATTATGAAGGGATTTTAATTAGGTTTAAACCCGTCATTTTTCAATAAGTTGGCTGTTATAATTAAGAGTATTAAACCATAATTCTTGTTATTTGAATGACAGAAATATGATCTTAATGAATGGCGCAACAGGAAGCATGATTATGTAATAAAACAGGTGTTTATTTTAAGATCCAGGTGGTGAAGGGCTGTGCGCACACAATGTTCCAACAGGGGACAGCCCTCCATTCCGAAACACCGCCGTTCCGAACCAGCCCCACTCCGAAATTGATTTTCAATCAAGTTTGAGAATCGTATTGCGGAGATTTGCACAGCGGCGACCGGATCTTTACTCTCAAGCCACAAAAAAATGTGATGGCACAACAGTCTCCTTCAGTACATTATTCTATGCTTTCTTTTGATTTTCACATTGGCTAGTCATCCTGTTTAATTTGTCTTCTGATTAAATCGGAACCGTTGAAACAAGTTGTAGGAAGCCTCTGCAAGTAGGCTAATTGGTTGCTGGCAGACACTCTGTGCTGCAATAAAATGGTTAATCAGCAGTGCCATGCACTGTAGAGCCGATGTGCTGCTGGTTCTGCCTGCCTGAATAGAATATAATGTCTATAGCCTTACTGTTGTGCGTACAGCCTTTATAGACTGAGCTGAGTAGTGATGCGCGGGTCGACCCGTAACCCGCGGGACCCGCAAATGGACCTGCGTGTCGGGCAGCAGTGATCGTCTGTTAAATCGGTCTGTAAATGATATTTTAACATTATTGTTATTATAATCATTAGGCTATTACTGTCACGGCATCCGAAGGTACTGATGCGTTGAGCAGGTGACAGTCCGCGGTCGTTTTCAAAACACACTTGTGTAAGGCACTCCAGAAACTTGTTGAAACTTTAAACAATAATTAATTGTACGAAACGGGGGAAACAAACGTTGACAAAAACGGTTCCATAATTCATATTAAATTCAAAAGATAACGAAAACACAGCTAGGCCTATATAAAAATATGTAAAAAAAAAAAAAAAAAAAAAAAAAAAAAATATCGAATACCAAATTTTCATAACGAATACCTACCCATAGAAACGAATATTCGAATATTCAAATATTTGGGTACAGCCCTATCCATAAAGAGTTCAAAGTGTTCAGGTTTCATGCAAACACTGTTAAGAAATAAACTGTTTGCTTTTTTCCTCCCAAGATAAAGTTCGTGATTAAATACATTACCTGACTCCTTGTCTTTCTTCACCATCTTTTTAATGAGAGAGGACGAGCGTGTAACTTGCTGCAAGATACTACTGCTTTCACTAAAACACACTGTTGCCGCTGTTGCGCAAGCCCACACTCAACTCAGGCTGTACTTCAATCCCTGATCACCACGCACCTGTAACTAGTCCCTGTTATTAACAGGACATTACACAGGTAGCCACGCCCACACGGTGACAAGCACCAGATGCACAGCACTTTTTGCCCCCCGCTTGAATTGGGGTTAAAATGCATAAATACACAGGCCCTTTATAGTACCAGTGTTTGGTTTGTCCTTTAAAATCAACATGGTGGACCTGAGTATAATGTAAGACTCGTGCTAAGCAAATCCTAATACTGAATTGTAGTCTGTCTATATCATGCACAAACTTACCTCTCTCTGTTCTCCTTTTCCTTGGGTGTTCAGGCGAAATCTATCTATCTATCTATCTACCTATCTACCTATCTATCTATTTTTAACCTACAGTTGCCCCAATATGCCGTTGTACAGTATTATTGTGAAAGATAATGAAGAAACTGTCCTGATTTGAAAGTGATCGCACATTTAATTGAAGACATTGAAGTCAAGATAACGTATAACCGGAGGGGTCTTCCTAAACACATTATACATGTTAGAATATACTTACTGAAAACTTGAACACTGTGAACTGTTTAGTAGTGAATTGTGAAGTTAGACCTTTTAACCATTTTCACCTTTCTTTAAGCCCAAGTATTTTTTGGGCAGGCCTGAAATCAGTGATGCAATGGAGCCAACATTATCATAACCCTGCCCCAAAAACTAACGTTATAGTGCATAGCATCAGTGTCATCTGTTTAGCGCCTGTGTGTGAGCTGCAAGTTTGCTACATTCCACAAGCTCTCTCAGCTCTTTCAGTTTGATATTTACATGATAAACAACACTGTTAAATGCCACAATCATATAAACAAGGAAAACAGCCATCACAGGCATACTTCTCAGTCTTTCAGCCCGCACTGGCTACTCGACCCAGCACTGCACACTGCTGTGGGTGTGTGGTTTGTGCTAACATTAGCTACTGTTAGCTGCTGAACTAGAGTCTGACACTGCTCAGCGGGTCACTTGTTCTTCAGCTCAAGTTGTGTGTATGTTACTGTGCTACTGAGTGAGCTGCTGACGAGAGGCTGTCGCCTTGTCGAAGATTTTGAATTCTAATTTTAAATAGTTTGCAATTTTTGAAACATTCACATGTGGCCGGGTTTATAACACATAACACAGGATATCCAAATAGAGACAAGAGAGCAATTTTTTTAAACATTCAAATATGGCTGGGTTTATAACACATTTTTCTATAGTGTGACAAACTCACCATATTTATTTTTGCTTTTACTGCAACCGAAACAGGAAGTAAATGCGTTGGTGTGAATTGACTGAAATAAAAAGGGGACTTTAAAGATTAAGTCACTAGTTCATTATCTTATTTTGTGGACACTGTGATCATCGCACACAGGATGTCCAAATAGGGACAAGAAAGAGTACATAGACACTACATAGTCAGACTCCAGACCAGTCATTGTTGTTGAGGGCAGTGCATTGCGAAAAACCATTTTGTTTGTTTGTCTGTTTTTAAAAACAACTACATTTTTCTTTTGAAATTTTGAAATACCGACAGAAAAAGAGAAGTCCAGCCTGATATGAGTGCTTGAACAACAAGCCGTGAGGAAGGCTTTGAAAGGTTGTGCTCTTTTGGTCAGTATCAGCTGCAACAACCAAATTTTCTTTTTGTGCATTTTTGCAGTGTAGTTTTCCATTTTTGCTTGAGACCAGAAATATTCAGCTTTTCTGAGACTGTAAGTACAACTTTAGAATATAGTTTGGAAACAAAATTGATGATTTTACTTATTCACCATTTAATTTCACATTTTAACTGCTTACTGCTGTTTGCACGTTAATAGCACTGGAAACTACCTTCATAGCAGTGTTAAAGAGTTTCAATCAAAGTGTCCTCGGTGATGTAAAACGTTGTACAATAAGGATTGCCTTATCTGCTTGTTGATTTAAGTGTTGCACTCTTTGATGCCATTATTACTTTGGTAGCACAGTTGAATGTAAGGTGTTTCACTGACAGTGCAACAAATGAACGGTTCAGTTTATTGGCAATTGATCCAGTTGATCCAATAAATGGTGATAGCATATCTGAATATGAATATTGTCCAGTATCAAAACACCAGTCCTACACTGGGTATGAGTTACGCTTTAACAGACAATCAAACATTTATGTTGTTAGTTTTTGCAGTGCCACTGCTGTTAGTACCCTCATCAGCATTAGCTCCCGGACTTTGTTTGCTTATCACTGTTCTAGTACTCAGGATTGGTCTTGGTCTCAAGTCCTCGCTTTGAAAGTCTAAGACCGAGACAAAACCATAAATGCAAAGATATCACTAAAGGAGTGTTGAATAAAGACGGTCAAGTTGATTTCAGCTCCTAAGTGTTCGCATTTGTTTGCTCAAAGATAACAAAGTAAATTTCCCATGCATGACATTCACCTCCGCAATGCTATTGGATTGTTTTATTGTGACATTTGTCATGGCACACTTGTACAAACACACATATAAACATCATGGCAATAAAAGAGCTGAACGAAGAGCAATCATCCTTTGTTTTCTGCGGGCGAATTTATGGGAACGTGGATGATTCGGATCAATTTGAAGAGTGTCTGTGGGTTGCGTGTTCCACATTTTATTGTTGGTGTGTCACACAGTGTGGGCCTCGCACATGTCTGATTTTGACTTGATCGATTCATTCTGGTCTTGGTCATGACTTGAGAGTCTTAAATGTTCAAGTGGAGCACTCTTCTTCTAGAGATTGAATGGAACCATAGCCTTTTGTTCAAGGATTAATGCAAAACTTTTGAATAACTATTGGAGCAGCTGACATCAGATTTAATTTGGTTGTTAAGTTAAAATGTTTTCCAGACATCCAACTTGTTTAATAGCATTTTGATGAGTAGAAAAGTGCCCAGCCGTATCAGCTTAAATACTGGATTGCCAGGTAACCAGACAAAGCATGGCCGTGTGGTTATTATTTAACCTATAAAGTCTACTTGTTTGGTTTATATTATCTTTTCATTTTTAATATGCAAATGTCACTCAGAGTGCCTGTGTGTTTTATCAGCCATGTCATATAAAGGCACCAGTACCCTCAGAGCTCAGTGTTTACTGTTTCCAGTATACAGATAGTGGCTGCACCTGCTCATAGTCGCACTCCCTGCTCACGTTACCAGCAACTACTGCAACAACTACAGCATGGTAAGTCTTGGTGTACTGACACATGGAATATTTATGCTGTGCTGAATGTGTTTTGCTCTGAATCTAAAATGATTGAATCTGTTATTGAAAGTTGTCCTCAGAGTTCACAATTCCATGTCATTAGACTGTTTCTATGATTACTTACCCCTTCGTTTCCTCTTTCCTCTCCCTCTTACTTCCCTCCCTTCCCCCTCATCTGTCTTCCCTTCTCTATTTTCTCCTATCCTCTCCTCTCCAGGTGCTCAACTGCACAGAGATTGATGATGTGCTGGAGAGGTACTACCTGTCACCCTTTTATGGCATTGAGTTCTGCATTGGTTTCCCTGGCAACCTTTTGGTTGTACTTGGTTACATATTTTGTTTGCCAGAGTGGCAGAGCTGCAATATTTACCTCTTCAGCCTGGCGGTCTCTGACCTCATTTTCCTCTGCACACTGCCACGCCTCTCCTACCTCTATGCAAATGACCAATCAGAGACCAGTTCCGCTGCTTGCATTATCAACCGCTACGTACTGCATGTCAATCTTTACTCTTCCATCCTGTTTATGGTCTGGCTTAGCATGGACCGCTTCCTGCTCATAAAACATCCAACACGGAACCACTGTCTGCTGAGGAACCGGACAGCCCTGATTGTGACAGGGCTGAGCTGGGTAGCTGTCAATGTGGAAGTAGCTCCAATGATATCACTGATGGTCCATGACCTAAAGAGCAGGAACTGGAGTCACTGCAAGGATTTTGGCAGCCTGGAAGGAGACATCAGTGTATTGGGCTACAGCCTCGGGCTAACCCTGACTGGTTACATTCTCCCTCTGCTTGGACTTTGTGGTTTCTCCTACCAAATTGCACACCTGCTGCGTGTCCAGGAAAGGGCTGTACAGCGCAGGAACGTATCGTTCAAGCGGCCTCTTAAGGTTGTTGCATCGGCTGCAGTCATGTTTCTGGTTCTATACACCCCCTACCATGTGCTGAGAAATGTCAGAGTAGCATCTCGGCAGCCCTGGGCAGGGCTGCAGCCGTGCACAAGGATGTACATAGAGGGCTTGTACATTATAACCCGACCTCTGGCCTTCTTACACAGTGTCATCAACCCTGTCTTCTACTTCTTCATGGGTGACAAGTTCAGAGAACTCCTGTTGGCTAAGGTTAGAATACTGGTTAGAAAGACTGAGCGGCAAAGAGAGCCAGCCTGACAAAAGTCAATGCAGGGTCCCTACATGTGAAGCACACATCTATATAGCACATCCAAACATGTGAATGAGCTCCATCTTTACGTGTTTTTTATTTAATGTTTTGAGCTTACCTGTATTCATGTTATTTTTTCATAATTGCCATCCCTAAACATACTGTCAAATTGTAGCATTATTAATATTGAAAGACATCTTTGGTGTCAGCAGAACATATTTGTCATGCTCTTATCTATAAGATATGAGGATACTTTGTGGCGGTGACCATATTCACACAGATTACAAGATTATAAGTGATAGAAACATGTCAAGATACCCATAAAGAGGCAAAGTTATCTTTCATGTTGACAAGGTAAAGTCACGTAAAGCCAGAGCCTGTTGCTATTTTTACAATAACCTTTTGTTAAAGCATCAGTATGTATGTGTAGATAGGTTGCTGTTATTTGTTGAAAAAGCAGTTATTTATATTTGTTGTCAGATAAACTGGAGGCTCATGTCTTGTCATTTGTACCACTGTTTTTGGGATGTTTGTGTATTTAAGTCAGCATTGTGCTATATTACATTTGAATATAATAAAATATAACTTAACTAATAATAGTTGGCTGCTAATTCAATTTTCTGAAGAAGATGGATTGAGGAGTTTCTTTTATCTATGTTACTTCTATGTTTCATTATCTCTAAAGTCCCTCCCAGAACACATTTTAAATACTTATACTAATCATTTTATTAAACATGGTTTTACCACATAATGGTTAAAAATGAATCCATGAAAAGGGGCTAGAAGCAGATCAACCCATTCTCCCTCATTGAGAGATTCTTGAGATCTGGCCTAACCCTGCTTTCACTTTGTACTTTTTCCAGTGCTGACAGGACTACAAGAGCTAGACCAGTCAGTTGAATGGTAACAGAGCAGCGTGCATCAATATGGCTTGCATTAGCCTCACAGGAAAAATTAGAGAGATTCAGCAATACATGTTAGAGTCTTGGTGAAACCCAGACCCACTTTGATCTTGCACTGGGGGTTTAAGGTTTTTATTGCCAGTACTACGTCTAATATTGGTGTAATGTACCGAATTTTAGAGATGCAAATTTCACATTGTGTTATGTTGTGTTCACACTGGGCACAAATAAAATTATTTGCCCAGGTGAATTACATGTAAAGTCAATGTAAAGATGCAATAAGGCACAAATTCCCACCAAGCAGGGCGATAGACGTGACATGAATGGTGCAAATGAAGCACGTAGCGCAATTTTGCATCATACTGAAAGGTTAATGAACTTCCACCAATACGTCCTCAGCATCATACATCCCCGGAGGATCTCAATGCTGATCAGCTATTGCGGTGCAAATTGGTTGCTGAATTTCAGATTTTTCATCTCTCACGAATAGGTGCATGATGCAAAATCGCACTACTCGCTTAATTCACATCAGACACGTCCATCGTGTCCATCCCACCAACCGGCGGGAAATCTGCGTCTAAACCCGTCTTTGCGTTGACTTTACATGTAGGCCTAATTCATTTGTGCGGATTGTTTTATTTGCTCTTGGTATGAACACAACTTAAGTTTATTCCCACATCAATATGTGTTTCCTGCTTTTGTATGAGTGAAGTACCATATAGCCCGCACAGGTTTGAATCCCAGATTTTAGGGGAAATGCACAGACATCGCCCCTTTCTGTAGAGGAATGTGAAAACACCAACACCAGCACCTCTGTTGGGGAATTAAAAAACAATGCTGTTGAGGAACACCAATCATTGTAAATACTAATGTTCATTTTGGATTTGGGTGTTTTGTGTTTTTTGCCACCACAGTTAGCATTGCATTTCAGAAGTCCCATCTTACTATTTGGCTTTTCATCAGGGCTCAGTCAGTTATACTGTAGACAGGCTTTTCAGTTCAGAATTTTAATACCCTTCTAACACAAACAATACTAAAAGGTAAATAATTATAGCTGCTGCGTAGCGATGGGTCAGGTCTGGGCATTTTTAGGCAATTCTGAGCAACAAGCAGAAGAATTGGAAGATATTTAGGAATTTAGCAACACAGTCTGCCTTTTCATCTGCTGAGGCTTGAATTCACAACCTCTGAGACTAAGAATCAGTTTCTATCTCACTGAGCTAATTAGTCAGTGACAATTCATGTGTAGCCTCACAAACTGACTAAGCCAGACGTGCAGGTTTAGCAGCCGTCCATGCATGGAAAAGCAGATTTCAAACCACTGTAAAAAATTCAGTTATCGAAACAAAAATCTGAAAATACACATATTGCATCTAGACAGCATGGAGATGTTGATAATTTATTTTAACAATGATTGATTTGCTTCATAAGTGAAAAACTGATGTTTAACTAGTTGAGCTATGTGCAAAGTGAGAAGCCTCAGATGGTTTCACACTGAAGTATTGACACTGGATCTTTGTGCAAAGTTTGGTTTATTTTCAAGCATGAGAAGGCAGATTTTCTAGCAGAAAAAAGAAGATGCTGCACAGTGATGAGTCACGCTCAGGCAATTTCAAGCAATAAGCTGGAGCACAAGAAGATGTTTACATTACAATGTGGATTCTGCACTAGTTGATGCTTTAATCTTTAACCTCTGGAACCTAAGATGGTCATTTACTTCTCTGAGCTAATTGGCTTGTAGCAACTCAACAGTGGCTTCACAAATTGAGTAAGCCATTTCACTGTTGTGTAGGAAAGCAGCCATCCATGCATGGAAAGGCAGATTTGAAACCACTGTAAAAAATTCAGTTATTAAGATAAAAATCTGAAAATACACATATTGCATCTAGACAGCATGGAGATGTTGGTAATTTGTTTTTAACAATGATTTATTGGCTCCATAAGTGAAAAACTGATGTTTAAAAATGCCATTTTTACATTGACTCCAATTGTTCGCATGAGAGCGAAATTCAAAATGCTGTAAAAAATTCAGTTTTTGAGATAAAATTGAAAATTTATTTAGCAAGAATTTGCACGTATATGTTTACAGTACCGTTTACAGTCAAACATTTTGATGCACTGTAGGCTCAATTTTTGATCAATCAAAAATCTGAGAAACATAGTTTTTGTAGGACCGTCTGAAGATGCTCTGTAGCAAGTTTGGTGTCAATTGAGCAAAAATTGTGGGAGGAGATAGGTTTAAGAAGTTTTACAGTTTTTGAAAAAAAAACAGAGTGATGAACTTCATAATTTTTAATAGGTCTAAATGTACAAAAGTTTCTTCGGTATTGGGGCTACAGTTTGATGACAGCTGTGAAGTTGTAGCATGCATGGTTGATTTGTTATGAATTTTACAAGTCAGTGTTTACAGCTGAGGATATCTGGCATGAGACTGGACCTTTGTGCAAAGTTTGGTGAGTTTTCACCCATGGGAAGTATGATTTCCTCGGAAGAAGAAAGAAGAAAGAAGAAGAATACCTACGTAGAATTACAATAGTGTCCTGGCAGCTTAGCTGCCCAGACCCTAAAAATGAGGTGTGCCCAAATGGTTTATGATGCATATGCTATAACAGCAACATCTCCAGTTAGACTTTGACCCAAGTCATTTGTCACATGACCTCATTATTGTCACTCCCCAATCCCTGCTGAGCTGAGCTCAGTGTCCATTATTAAGTATGTCCCTATGGTAAGTAAAATCCCTATGGTACCCAACCTTGCCAACCATTGCTTTTGTTTTTGGTAGAGTTATCTCACATTTTTCCTGTGTAAAGTGAAACTCATATAGCTGATGTTCTTCGAGTATTTCTGTGAACTTGAGCTGCTTTTCTTGTTCCTCAGCACTCCATGTCTTTAACATCTGAAAAAAAGTGTTTTTGTTATCCTACATTAAAACAGAAGACCATCTTCAACACCAGTCAAAGAAAACAGTATTGAGTTTTGATCTCTGTTGTATTTGTTTTTCATGGACTTAACTGACCCCAGCTTGAGTAATGAAACACCTTACAGTGTGACCTTTTTTTTAACCAGGTCATCGGTATGATTTTCCTTTGCGTTCCAAGAACCAAGGTTGTGATATTGTGCAATATCCCGGGTAGTTTCGGGGTACCAGGGTGACACACACTTAGAATAGAGAATGTTTGAAGGGTTTGGATTTGGCTGGTATGCGAGCACTGCATATGTTACCACTGTATTATTCAGTGTTTATCATCAGGTTTACTCGTTAGACTGTGTGTATCACAGGTTTCAAACATTAACACTAGCTCAGTTTTTCCCCCATTGTTTTTCTCTCTCTCGCTTCTGAATCACACTGATTACTCAAGACCTTAAATAACAAAATACTTCTATCCTCAGCTTGCTGTAGGAATGTTATTGTGGTATGAGTCAGAATTTTACTTTTTTCAGTAAAGTGTATCTCTGGTGTTGGTTTGTCTGGTTTATTGAAACCTCTCTGATATACTCTCCCATTCAAACATATATTTCTATATATTTGGAATCATCAGGTTTCAGCTCTTATGTAAGCCGACCCTATGTTGGACTGTCGGTGACCTTTGACTCAGTGCCTTGCGCATGTCATGTCCAGTGGCATGGTCAGGGATAGGTTCTTTCTCCTCCATGTCCACCTCTCTTTCATCAGCCACATTTCCAGAGGGTGTGCCTCCAACTCTTCCCCTCTGCTTTTTTATATGTTGTGTAATATTCAACAAGCTGTCACCACCTGATTCATAATCTTCATGTTGTGACCATTTCTTTTTTGAGCGAGCAATGCCAGCAAGTTCTTAGTCTGCCAAAAGCCACTTCTACACACATTCTTGCTCAACTCAGTTTGTAATTAAACCATTGCTGGTCTTGTCCCTGTCTTTCAGGATATGGTTTCTGGACCCATGGCAGCAGTGGATATGCTGCATCAGCTATTATTGATAAGGAAACACCAGTCCAGAAAAGTCTTCTAGACTGGTCTTTCTGGAAAATGAAGAGTTTGCAAACACTCTTGAATCATGTACTTTTCCAGGCCAACCTACATTTATGTCCCAAACTGTAGTTTATGGTCTGCTACCCTCAAATGAGTCCCTCTTGAGCTTGATGCCTATACCGAAAAGGTGTGTGATGGATTCTATGTCAATGTTACAGCAACACGGTGCTCCACTGTCAAGGGTATCCTGTACCGAGGTTCTGTGCCGCTCAAGGTATGGTCTCAACTGCTGGCAGAGGTAGAGGAATGTGTCCATACCCTTGAAATTTCAACACCAGTCAGTGTCACTCCAGGCATTTGTGCTCTCCCCTGAAATGTGACACCTTGCTTTTGTCCAGCATGACCTGTTAACACATACAGAATCAGCATCTGATTAAATGGTCAAGTTGGTTTGCCTGTTTGACACCATCAGAAAAAGCCAATGTTTGAAGCATAGTGTTTTACCATTAGGATGTGATCGTGTTGGTATGAGAATTTGCTAGATGTGCGTTTCAGGATTCACTTTGATGACTTTCAGGTGAAAGCTGAAGTGTCCGGACTGTTGCTAGTAGCATCAGATATAGCCTGATCAGTTTGTAATGTCGCTGCAAAATTTTTCTCTCCCATGTCTGTCTCCTTTGCAGTTTGCTCA